AATAAATTATGATTGAATAAATAGATTTGTCTTTATACTTACTTGTTTCATACATATTATAAATACCACTTTGGATTCCACTTGTATCCAGTGTTATTGTATTAGTAGGTAATCCTTTGTTTATGAATGCTTTTTAATTAGCGATTTTAATCATTCATTATTCTTGACTGCTTGCCAAATACTACTGATAGTAGAAATATTTTTATTTAGAGATGCTGCAACACACTAAAAAAGACAAGAAAATAATTTCATATTTCTATTAAATTTTATAACTTGTAACTTACATCTCTTACAGCAGGTCCATCATTATCACGCTCTCATTCAAAATAATGGATTGAAGAAGCTATCAACTCCTTACAAGGACTATTTAGTTTTTTAGGCATTTTGTATACAAAAATTAAACGACAAATAATCAGCTTATACACTCTATGGTTGTTTTGAAAAACAGTTTTTTATAATTATAACTGGCAAAGCTTAAAAATACAGGCAAAAGGATTTTAAATTACAGAAAACAAAATGCACAATCAATAATTAACTCAACATAAACATATCCTAACTAAATCAGTGAAATTTTTTAAAAAGGGGTTGCAACACCGCAACTGTACCAATTAGGCATTCCAACGACCTGTCAAACAATAGGTGCCAGTAGGAAATTCTTGTATATCTAAGGAGGTAGCGACATAGTCTTGCAACTTGGACACTATTTTTATTCAAAGTAGTAGTCGCCAAGCCTGCCAATTTATGAAGAAATGTATAGGTGGGTTTTTTTAAATATTATTTGTATTGTGTTTGACATAAAATATTTAAATGTAATCCATTATTCATGATTTTACGTAAAGTAGATAGAATACACCGTATGTCGCCACCCTTAGATATACCAAACCTTCCCACTGGCAATTCATTTGTTTGGAATGCCTAATTAGGCATTCCAACGACCTGTCAAACAATATGTGCCAGTGGGAAATTCTTGTGTATTTAAGGGGGTAGCGACATAGTCTTGCAACTTGGACGCTATTTTTATTCGAAGTAGTACTCGCCAAGCCTGCCAATTTATGAAGAAATGTATAGGTGGGTTTTTTAAATATTATTTTCATTGTGTTTGACATAAAATATTTAAATGTAATCCATTATTCATGATTTTACGTAAAGTAGATAGAATACACCATGTATCGCCACCCTTAGATATACCAAACCTGCCCACTGGTAATTCATTTGTTTGGAATGCCTAATTGCTGTAATGACATTTCTTCTCTATAAATACGAGCTTCATGGGCGTACAGAATGTCAAAATTATTTAATGTAAAGTATTATTTTTTGAGTACTAAACATTTAATAATTTTTTATAAATTTTATATTATCTAGAATTAGACATGTATAAACTAAATAATTTAAATAATTCTTAAAATTATCAAAATAATCACCATAACAGTTTTCGACTTTTTAGTAATATGACTACGTTCATGAATGCTCGTGACTATACGTGACTTTTTCGGATTATTAGCTTAGTTAGGGACATTTTAATTAGTTGGTAGTACTATGACGAATGACCGACGTCATTGCTGACGTGCATCGGGATTTGTATTAAAAATACTATTTATAATTCCACCGTAGTACGAGGCACGATACCGTGACGTCACTATTCGGTCTTAGTTCAAGTAAGACGATTCCTTTTTATTTTGATCTGCAGTCATTGGTTCAAATCAAATGTGTATGGGATCCTAAAACTGAAGTTATACTTATAAATATTACTCTATTACTCAGTTTTCGCCAATTTAAACAATTATTCATATATATTTAGTATAGAAATAAGGTAATTCTGCATATGTGAACTAATTGGTACCAATTGGGGCAACTCTGATGTATTAGTATTACTGGTATCATTTAATTTAGAAATATTGATTAATTTATTTATGTGTTGCATAGGTAAATATTGAATTTAGGATTTAGAGCCATTCAACTAATTATTCAAATAACTATCTTATATATATTTAAAATTGTTTTATATATATTTATTTATCATACTCACCCCACTCTACCGATTATTGATGAACTAATTATGAGCTAGCACCATTTATGTTGATGTTCAAACTAATAAAAACCATATTAGTAAAACCACCACATTTGTTTTCCTATTTTTGTTAGGACAACTAAGGCGAGTTTTTCCTTTTCTTTTTTCTAACACACCCTTAAAAGGTGGTGACTAAAATTGAGTTTTTATTTTTTTTTCGAAAATTTCAGTAAAGCTAGAAACTTGAAATTCAGTAATTTTTGTGCACTCGCAAAGGACTAACCACGGGTATTTTTTCAATATTCCCGTTACATTATAGGGGGGTGAAATTAGCTACACTTACTTTATTTCATATCAAAACTTTTTTTCGAGATGAACTTTTATGAAATAAAATTATAATTTGAAACCCTTGTTTTATTTATAAACAAATTTTTATTCTTGAATTTTTTTCCCAAAACCAATAGCTTCAGAGAAAAATAATAAACACCCTACTTTGTCATTTTTACTTTCCTATCTGTATACAGATATAAGGAAAGTATAGGAATCATGATTTTTTTCGACCTCGAGTTTTTGACGGATTTTTACGTTTCGAGGTCCCCTGAATCCGTTTTGACTATTTTCGCGATGATGTCTGTGTGTGTGTGTGTGTCTGTGTGTGTGTGTGTGTCTGTGTGTGTGTCTGTGTGTGTGTGTGTGTGTGTGTGTGTGTGTGTGTGTGTGTGTGTGTGTGTGTGTGTGTGTGTGTGTGTGTGTGTGTGTGTGTCTGTATAACGCATAACTCATGAACCGATACACATAAAAACACCAAATTTTAAACTTAAGCTTTGTTTCAGCGTCCAATGAGCTGATTAGATTTTGGGCAGAGTCGGAACATCTGGGGGGTACTTTATAGGTGGTCATTTTTATATTTTATGGAATATATTCGTTATTTACGTTTGGAGAAGAAAATTTTTCAAATAAAAGTTACTTACAATATTATTATCTATAATTTTTGTTCTATATAAAATTTTCCTAAAATGGTCCGTATTCGAGAAATTTGACAAAATGTAAAAAAAATAATTTTTTATAAAAATTGTTCAAATAAAAGTTGTTTGTAATATAATTCTCTATAATTTTTATTCTATACATAATTTCTCTAAAATGGACCGTATTCGAGATATTTGAGAAAATGTGTAAATTTCGAAATTTGAAGAAAACTCAAAAACGGATGAAGAAAAAAAGAACATTAAATTTTAAACTTAAGTTTTATTTTGGCCTGACGTGAAATGATTAGATTTTGGACAAAGTCGGAACATCTGGGGGGGTACTTTATGGGAGGCCGTTTTTATATTTTATGGAATATATCTGTTATTTATGTTTGGAGAAAAAATTGCTTAAATAAAAGTTACTTCTAATATTATTATCTATAATTTTTGTTTTATGTAAAAATTTCCTGAAATGGTCCGTATTCGAAAAATTTGACAAAATGTGCAAAATTCTGATTTTTATGAAAATTGTTGAAATAAAAGTTGTTTGCGATATCGATCTCTATAATATTTGTTCATACATGATTTTTTTAAAATGGACCGTAATGGAAAAATTGTAGGAAAAGTGCTAAATTTAAATTTTTCAGTATTTTCATTTTCAATGAATATCTATAGAAAAATGTTTCGCGGTAGATGTATGTGGACAATGTATATATTTAGTTTATCCTCTAAACATTTATAGAGATGCTGCAATAGGTTGTACAAAATAACCTGAAAAAGCCTGTAATAACTAGATAGGAAAGTCATGTGTTGGACACATCAGATTTTTTTAATAAATTGAGTGGATAACAGTCTAATTTCGGGACACCCTGTATATCATCTATAACTATCAATAAATAAAAAATATTTGAGTTGTTTGGTTTAAAAATAGTATTCCTACATTCCTATAATATTAACAAGCCACTAAACCCCCAGTAGGCGGCGATAGCCAACGAATTACTTCGTCAATTGATGACATACCTGTGTTCATGTAATTGTAATCGGACCCTACCCAATCGTATGATTATTCTTCAGCGCACGAGACACAACATTGCCAAATTTATGTAGCGAACAAGGTTCCAAATACTTTAAGGGGAGGTCGTTAGATCCGTGCGGTGTGACGTCAGAAGGGACTGGATTGCTCTTATAAAACAGTTATAGGTAAATCAAATTTTTGAAAAACTTAAGTTGTTCGTTCTGAAAAATTGGGGACTCAGCATTTACGACGTTTTTCTTCCAACATAGCAATATGAACTTTAATATTATTAGTACTTTACAAAAGGAAGTCTCTACTTTTTTTTCTAAAATTTTTTTACACTTTAATTTATATTTTTTTTTTCTTGTAGTTCTTGGGTTTTTAGGTGCTAGTGGAAAATGAAACTAGTGTGTGTGTGTGGTTAAAGCTTTCGGCACTGATCAGTGCCTTCTTCAGTATTTTTTTATTGGTAAAATATTTTTTTGTCATTAAGACCTTGTTTGAGTTTAACATCCGACAGTTTTTTTAGTACATTAAAACGGACATAAAGAACACCACATCAACGGACATAACAAGGATTAAAGAAAATAAAACAATATAATAAAAAAAAGGATTTTAACTTATTCTAACAATTTCAATGACACACCCCAAACTTTGTACTGAAGAACTGTCGGATGTTAAACTCATTATTATTTTTTTTTTTCAAACAAGATCTAAATAACAAAAAAAAAATATTTTACCAATAAAAAAGTACTGAAGAAGGTACTGATCAGTGCCAAAAGCTTTAATCACACACACACGAGTTTAATATTCCACTAGCATCTAAAAACCCAAGAACTACAAGAAAAAACAAATTAAGTATTATTTATTCGAGTAGAATCAAACCCCTAAATGTATGCCTTTATTACTGGTAAGTCTCTGTATAATGTTTAGTAAAACTGTTTTTTTTTTTTTCGAATAAAATATATTTTTTATCAAAATTTTAAATAAATAAAAATATAACTTTACTTACTCTATTTGAAACTACTTCAGCACCCTGTAGAACCGCTTCAGTCAAAGTTGAACACAAGTCTACGTAAATTTCTTCTAATTCCTGCAAAGAAGATACTGGTATATAATTAAAGTAGGTACTCGTAAAGTGAATATTAAAACAAAATTGAAAATGCTAATTTATACTGTAATTAGAGAAAATAGGGAAAAGTATTTTCTGAATTTCAAAATTCAAATTACTTTTAATTTTGTTTTCCTGCAAAATCGTTCATTTTAATTTATTTCTCATGCAATTTGAAATCGAGTTCGATGAAATAGAGGGGGAAAAACGGCGAAAGCTAATCAGTAAATGTATATAATAAGTGAAAAAATTTAAATATCGTTAATAAATGAGTAGGAATGTTAAAAGTGGTTAAAACGTGATATAAAATGAATCTTCAAATTAAAACAAAGAATTACCCTTATTGAGGAAAAAATTAATGCGAAATATTAATTTTTTTTTAATAAAATTGTAAGGTTAAAAACAGGCGCAAAGAGGGAGTAGGCGACGAGAATACCGTTGACGATGAAAAATAAGTACATGATTCTGATGACTTGGAGTGGTTGACCACACCCTAAAGGTTGTTATGTATGTTTTATATCCAATCAATTCTTCTAAATAAATGTAATTTTTCAAAGACTTGCGTATTTTTTCCGAAATCCTGTACCCATATTATTTGCTTTTAGCCAAAACAACGGGATTCAAGACCTTGGCACAAGGAAAAATAAATTTTTTGGTAAATTTGCAACTCAAATTGCACAGAACATTCGCTAATACAATTGAGAGAGCCCAAGCGCTACTTTGCAGAAAAAAATAAGGTGAAATCCGCCAGTAATTGATATCTTGATATATATCGTTAACGGGAAACATTTTCTTTCTCTTAACATCGCACAACAACATCTACACACGATTAGTAGGTAAAATTATTAAAAATATGAATCGATTTTTGCTGATTTAAAAATTTATTTGTATGCCTATTGTTGTGATTCATTTTTACAGGTTGTCATAGAAACGCCAAAAAAACTACTATGATTATGGTTTAAAAGAATTGTCTAACAAGAGTTTATAATTATTATTGACTATCTCTGCCAAAGTTAGGTAAAAATATTAATAATTCAAATGAATTAGGATTGTAATTTTTAAAAAACACAATTATCGCTGTCAATTTTTTGAATATAAAATAATTTTTTTAACCACTTTGCTGTGGATTACAGATTGGCACAGGTGCAATTTGGTAAAGAACAATGCTGTTACATGTCTTTGAAGCATATTTCATTTTGTTATCAGATGGCGGTCGTAATTTGCAGTGGGCTCTCTTACTATTACCAATTAAGCGATCCAACGACCTGTCAAACAATAGCTGTCAGTGAGAAGGTCTGGTTTATCTAAGGGGGTAGAGACATAGTCTTGCATCTTGAACGTTTTTTTTATTAGAAATAATAGTCACAAAGCCTGCCAATTTATGAAAAAATGTATCTTATTTTTATTGTGTTTGACATAAAATATTTAAATGTTATCCATTATTCATGATTTTACGTATTGTAACCAGAATACATCGTATGTCGCAACCCTTGGATATATCAAATCTTCCCACTGGCAGTTCATTTGTTTGGAATGCCTAATACAATATATGACAACTTATATTCAAACAGCAGTCTTCTGCGCATCCTGAATTTGTATCCCTGGAGTGGATGTTATTTTGGAACATCCAATTAGTCCGAGTGAGCGAACTGATTCTTTTAAGCTATAAACTGTGGCCAAGGGCTGAAACGGCACAGTAGCGGAGTTTTTTAAGGTGCTTTTAAATTACATTTAAGCACGTTGAATCGTCTCTAATCGGACTAAATCGAACGCTAAAAGGGTCGATTGGAGTTAAAAGAGTTAAAGGAGTGAATGGAATGTATCTGTCCGAACACATAATCTACGAGTATCATAGAAGTATATCAGTGCATCTAGAATTTTCTCTAGATACTGTTGCCTCTAAATCCACGTTAGTTTAATTGAGATAAGACTTGATGGTTGCTATAAATAAATTTTTTTCTTTTGTAAGCGTCTCCTAGCCAGGTTAAGCTCTCCCAATTGAGGGAGAAAATCGGTTTATACCGAAGCCCGAAAGGGCAATCACAATACCCACCAAAATATTTGAAACTACCTATACTAAAAGGATAAAGAACAAATGTCCGGTAAATTCAGACGACGTTAAGGCGGGTACAGATCTGAGCACGTACGCGTATTAGGCAACATCATAAAACAAGTATATAATTGGCAAGAAATCGGCCCATCGATTCCTTTTTCCTCCTTTTTTTTTTTTTTTTAATGTGTCGGATAAAATAAAACATGCATTCAACTCCGCGACGTCATCCTCATCCTTCATTTTTCTTTTAATTTTACGAATGTTCTGAGTATACGGCTGCGTACTCGCGAATTTACTGGATCAGTGGCGAACAGCGCCTCGTGCGTCCACCATTCGCGTATAAAAAATGCGACGCACGAGGCATTCGGTTCGACCTCGGCTTGCCTCATACGTGTAGATCTGTACCTGCCTTAGAAAAATAGCGAATATATACTCACCCAAGAGTATTAAAGCCAAGCTGAAGCTTATTACATCGCCAGCTATTTTCTGACTTGGTCATGAATGTTATCACAGACTTAAATGAAGAATTCACTGAACTAAACAGGTTAGTCAATATAAATGAACTAACTACAGCAGTTGGAGCACTTAAACGCACAACTAAAACTTTACTGTACAGGAAAAGAGGTATTTGAAACATTCATGACAAATATAGACATTAAAAAAATTACCACAAACGCTTGTGCACGCTGCAGTTGTATGCAAAGTAGCCTTTCGTTGTCCATTTAACAACAAAAATAAACCTGCGTCATGTTAGGCAAGTAGCCAGCCAGCAATAAATTCAGGTGGACGCCAAAGCGCCAGCGGTCATACTAAATTTTTAACATCTAATTATTTTAAATATCGAAATAAAGAATATATTAAATCATAATTTGTTGCATTATAATTATTACCCTTTCTTAAAATTATAATACAGGGGATGTAGGGAGGGCTAAGCTTTTATTACTAGCACGAAATTTGTGTTTTTTAAAAATTTACTTTAGGTCATTGGATAGATAGCAATAAAAACTCCGAAATTTCAAAGCTCTCTAAATCCCTTATTACCCATTTAAAATGGTATTTGAAAAAGTTGTCTGTTTTTTATTATCTTTCGAATGGAATAAATGAATTAAAAAAAAACAAAGTTTAGTTCAGCAATAAAAATTCTGAAATTTCAAAGCTCTCTAAATCCCTTATTACCCATATAGCATTTAAAATGGTATTTAAAAAAGTTGTTTGTTTTTTTATTATCTATCCAATGACCTAAATAAATTTTTGAAAAACACAAATTTCGTGCTAGTAATAAAAGCTTTAGCCCTCTCTACATCCCTTATTATAATTTTAAGAAAGGGTAATAATAATTATAATGCAACAAATTATGATTTAATATATTCTTTATTTCGAAATTTAAAATAATTAGATGTTAAAAATTTAGTATGACCGCTGGCGCTTTGGCGTCCACCTGAATTTATTGCTGGCTGGCTACTTGCTAACATGACGCAGGTCAAAAATAAGGCTATCAAAAAGCATTGACTAGAATTGACTAGGACATGTTAAAATCCAATAATAGTCACAACTTAAAGGACTTATACATTAAAAAACATTGCAAAAAATCTGTTATTACCGGCTAGTCTAATAAGTTACCTTCCACCTCATGTTATGTTAGTTGTCATGTATAAAAGTCTTTAATTAGTTTTATAAATAACGCACCTACTAAAACTTTTGTAATTTTAATTCCAATTACGCAATTGTTAATAAACTGTGCCAATAAATTAACACATCCCTTGATGATTTAAAAAATTCTCATTTGATTTGTTTATAATAATAACTATCACTAGATTAAATATTGTAAGGTTATCGTATACGAATATATCATTTATTTTTTGTAAATTTTTCTTTCAATACATTTTTCTTTCAAAGTTACGACCAAAAAAATAACAGATAACGAATTTGGTTATTTTTATAGTTATGTATTGTTTAGAACCACCTACATTCACCGTTAACTTATGTCTATTTCCCAATAAAGCACCCTGTATAGTTATGATAATGATTAAAGAACTCTTAAATAAAAAATTATAAGATCCCGCTGACCATCAGAAATTTTAAATATCGTTGCACACCCTATAACTCAGCTTTAGAGATAAACTCATGTTGTTATAGCGAGAGTGACATATTTTGCTATTAATTTAACCTACATTTTATTTAAATTATTTATAATTCCGCTTAGGACACAATTTACGACTGCACTATATATTTTTTGTTTTTGCTAAATGGCATTTTAAAGTCCATCTAGCTAATGCTTCTAACAGTAGCGTTTTTTCAAAAGATTATGTTTAAAAATTCTTCTTTCATCTTTCATCCTCGCAAACATTAAATCTGGATTATTCTGTTTTTAAAAATAAAAAAACTCAGATCCCTAATGTTAAAATGTTCCATTATGTTGAAAACATTCAGTTATCCTTCATCTGTCTGTTTTCTCTACAAATCCGTAAAAGTAATATGCCTACATTTTACGTTTTACCCATTCGAATCAAATCTCAGAAATCCCCAGATTTCGAGCATTCCATTTTTCTGGATCTGTTTAACGCCAGTTTTTTTTTAAATTCCATCAAATCCATTAGGATAATCATGCATGAGGCTCAGTGGTGGGCGGAGTGGCTATATTAGAAGGGATAGAGATTGTGAAATTTATGTAATTTATATAATTCTCTTTTATATTGTTTGGTATATAATTTAATTGAATCGTTCATTTCAAATAATCAATAATTTGGATTTTTGACATTTCACTACCAAAACGCTCTGAGACCATAGACGCACATTATGTGCTAAAACCACCCAAGTCCGAAGTTTCCTTATATATATTTACCAAGAAGATTTTCTATCAGTCCTATCAGTTTTTTGCTTCTCCTGTAAAATGTAGTTTTTTAACTTAGGTCATTTTAATTTTAATTTG